CTATATTTCTTAGCAGGGGTGGAGGGCAATAAGGTCACCAAATTAATGGCGCTGTCTGGCATAACTGGATAGTCAAACCTGCCCCCACATGTGTATTTCAATGCTGCATTTAGTAGTTTATGTATAGTTTAACTTTAAAGTGTGATGACAGTTCTTTATTATAAAATAGACTAGTCTGATTCATTCAGACCTTTTACATGTGAAAAAAAAAAACTAGTCATAATCCTCTCTGCACGCACACATTAAAACCACATCTTCCAATAAGGCTGGTGTCGTGCTGATGAGAAATGATACCGAGCCATACGCTCAGAGGTAGGTCCCACCCGACCAGCATGAATATGTCTGGCCTTTAATTTTCTGACATTCCACATATTTAGGAAAAAAATGCCAAACTGAGAGGTTTGTTGATGTTTTCTTTTGTTTGGCTTCTGTGGGATCTCCATGGGAAATCCACACAAACCATTGTGGTTCAGAGAAGAAAACTGGGACTCTGGACAGACTTACTGGTTCTGAATCATAATGATCATTATGCAGGCTGCAGAGTAAAAGCAAAGTATTTATGTATACATTCTACACTGAATTTTACTGCACAAATATGCAACGTGCTAGACAGAGGTAATGTCTAAAAAATTATATATATATATATATATATATATTATATATATAATATTTACTTAATGTATTATGGTAAGTTTATTATATAGAATTTGGTCACATTAATATCTTTAATTTTTTTACCTGAAATGTAGTTAAAATTATTGAAACATAAAAGATACTGTATAAAATGTTAAAACTTTTAAAATATTTCTGTAGAAAAGAACAGCCTGTACAAACAATTGTTTCTTTTTAGAATTTTATATTTTTTTTTACAATTTGTTTTTTAATTTTAGTTTTTATTCATAATTTTTTTTTTTTTTTTTACATTTTTTACCTGTCCTGTTTGGGGGAGGGGGTTGATTTTGGTGATATATCAGGGGGCCTCACAGACTTCTGATGTCTCACTTTTGAGGCAGAGAACGGGACTGAGAGATTCATCAGTCCCTTTATCTGCCACCTCAGCTGCACAAATGAAAGAATATAAAGCACTCAGAGGCTTCCTGTTCATTCACAAACTAATCATAGTAAACACATCTAGCCAGGTGCCAGCAATATTAATATGCCTTTCAGGGACATTTACAGATGAGCTTGTGATTAATCCTTTCTCCCCTAGTGACCAGTACTGGGACTGCTACATCACTTCCTGTTAGTAGAGTGGATCCAGGTTTTCTGGCAGCAGAGGACCTTGGGACCTGTAGTCCTATAGCCAATACATAATGTGTTCTTGAGTGCTGATTGAACTAGAACTACCAGAGAGCTGGCAAACGAGAGGGATGCTGAGAGAGAAATTATATTCTACAGCAAGGGATTGGCATTCTCTCTTGACACAGGATTTACAGCTGAACACAGTGGTACTGCTGTTCTCCTCCAGAGACAGATTGCTGGCTTACTGCTGCAAAACTCTGCACATCAGTTCAACACAATGGTGATGCCAATCGCCACACCAGAATCACATCAGCTTTTCTGCAAAGGGGGGGTGGGGAGGAATTATTTTTAAAAATTGTTATAGTTAGGGTTTTCTTCTACTTTAATTCATAAATGTAACTTTCCTCCTTTCCAAACCTACCATCACCCCGACTACAAGAATAGCCCGCCTTTTTATTTTGCTGTTTATGTACCTTTTTTCTATTGTTCATGTTCTGGCCCACCCCCCTTCTCCATGCTGACCTACACTCTCAAAGCCTCCTCAGATATGCACATCACATATTCAAGAAGTCATCGGCTTCCATTCATGAAAGGAACAGAGGTGGGTCTGGTAGCATGTCATTGGGAGCTGGTGGTCTATACCCGGATGAGACATTCTCCTCCAGATGACATCACGCTGGAAGATGGTGGACTGGAGAGGTGGCAACAAAATAGTTGATCATAGCACTGGGTGGGTGAATATCTGAATTGAGGACAACCCAGCATCAGGTAAGCAGGGTGTAGCACCCTCCTAGTATAGAGTAGGCTGCTAGGTAAATTTAGTTGGCTTTGCTGTAATCAGAGGAGCAGGAGTTGATTATTTGGGGCTGCTCAGTGTTTCACAGGCTGCTGCTCTGTTACTTCCCCCATCTTCTAGATGATTCTAGAAACATAGTGGGAGGGAGAATAGGGCATGCAGCCTGCATATTTATGGAACTCCAGCCAATCCCTGGGGATGTATGCTCGGTAGGTGGTGAGAGAGCCCATAAAGAACCTGAGGTCTGAACAGTAGGGTGCAGAGTTCCTGGGTCCAGTCCTGCAGGAGGAAACCCCTGTGTAAAGGTCTCTTCCTCTGGGCCAGATTTGTAGAAGAAGCCATCAGGAAAACAGAGGTCCCAGCTAGTTTTAGCTGGGGGGCCTATTTGCAAGAATGAGTCTAGGAATCAAGCTGGGTCTAGAGAAGCTCACTAGAGAGGGCATTAGAGGGAAAGAGCCCAGCTGTCCTGTGGTGGTGTGAATCTGCATCTCCTTCACTAGGAAGAGCCTGACGGATATCAGCAAGAGGCAACTGATGATCCCGTGGCTGTGTGAGTAAATGACCCCAGTGCTGAAGAGTTAGTGACTGTGTTGCTTTTAGACCCAGTGGCTCCTATGGGGGTGTACTACAGGGGGTTTAAAAAAATAAATAAATGGAGGTTAGAGTAAAGTTCCTGCATTATTTTAAGGTGCCCTTCATATTTTAAATTAGTCAATGGCATGCAACGGATGCACTTAGGGAGATTTACTAAAACTGGTGCCCTTAGAATCTGGTGCGGCTGTGCATGGTAACCAATCAGCTCTTAAATTCAACTTGTTCAATTAAGCTTTGACAATAGGCCCTCATGCACACTTGACATTTTTACAGCGGCTGTTTTTGGCATTTGACTTTTTATCTACAGTCAATAAACTCCCCAGTATGTTATCCTATGTGTCCATACACTCATAAGCTATAATCATCGTTTTTTGGCTGGGACGTTTTTTGGCAGGAAAAAAAACCCCCAAAACTAGTGGGTTTCTAGAGGAGTTTTTTAGCTGTAAAAACGCTTCAACGCTGAAAAATGTGGCAAACCGGCAATTTTGGACTTTTTTTGACCCCCCCTAAAAAATTGGGGGGGGTAAAAAAAAGCTAAAAAAACCGCAAATGCGGAAAAACGCGGGACACTGCTGCTAATGCTTGCTCTGTCTAGCACAGTGGTTCTCAACCTTTCTAGCGCCGCGACCCCTTAATACAGTTCCTCATGTTGTGGTGACCCCCAACCATAAAATTATTTTCGTTGCTACTTCATAACTGTAATTTTGCAGTAGGAGGAATAGTGCCACGTCATTGGTGTCATTGGGAGGAATAGTGCCCCATCATTGGTATCAGTGGGAGGAATAGTGCCCCGTCATTGGTGTCAGTGGGAGGAATAGTGCCCCCTTCATTGGTGTCAGTGGGAGGAATAGTGCCCCGTCATTGGTGTCAGTGGGAGGAATAGTGCCCCGTCATTGGTGTCAGTGGGAGGAATAGTGCCCTGTCATTGGTGTCAGTGGGAGGAATAGTGCCCCGTCATTGGTGTCAGTGGGAGGAATAGTGTCCCGTCATTGGTATCAGTGGGAGGAATAGTGCCCCATCATTGGTATCAGTGGTAGGAATAGTGCCCCGTCATTGGTGTCAGTGGGAGGAATAGTGCCTCGTCATTGGTGTCAGTGGGAGGAATAGTGCCCCGTCATTGGTATCAGTGGGAGGAATAGTGCCCCCCGTCATTGGTGTCAGTGTGAGGAATAGTGTCCCATCATTGGTGTCAGTGGGGGGGAATAGTGCCCCATCATTGGTATCAGTGGGAGGAATAGTGTCCCATCATTGGTATCAGTGGGAGGAATAGTGCCCAATCATTGGTGTCAGTGGGAGGAATAGTGCCCCATCATTGGTATCAGTGGGGGGGAATAGTGTCCCATCATTGGTGTCAGTGGGAGGAATAGTGCCCCGTCATTGGTGTCAGTGGGAGGAATAGTGCCTCGTCATTGGTATCAGTGTGAGGAATAGTGCCCCGTCATCGGTGTCAGTGTGAGGAATAGTGCCCCGTCATCGGTATCAGTGGGAGGAATAGTGCTCCATCATCGGTGCCAGTGGGAGGAATAGTGTGCCCCATCATCGGTGTCAGTGGGAGGAATAGTGCCCCATCATCGGTGTCAGTGGGAGGAATAGTGCCTCATCATCGGTATCAGTGGGAGGAATAGTGTCCCATCATCGGTATCAGTGGGAGGAATAGTGCCCCATCATAGGTGTCATTGGGAGGAGGAATAGTGCCCCATCATTGGTGTCAGTGGGGGAGGAATAGTGCCCCATCATTGGTGTCAGTGGGGGGAATAGTGCCCCATCATAGGTGTCAGTGGGAGGAATAGTGCCCCATCATTGGTATCAGTGGAGGAATAGTGCCCCATCATTGGTATCAGTGGGAGGAATAGTGCCCCATCATTGGTGTCAGTGGGAGGAATAGTGCCCCGTCATTGGTATCAGTGGGAGGAGGAATAGTGCCCCGTCATTGGTATCAGTGGGAGGAATAGTGCCCCGTCATTGGTATCAGTGGGAGGAATAGTGCCCCGTCATTGGTGTCAGTGGGAGGAATAGTGCCTCGTCATCGGTGTCAGTGGGAGGAATAGTGCCTCATCATCGGTATCAGTGTGAGGAATAGTGCCCCGTCATCGGTATCAGTGTGAGGAATAGTGCCCCGTCATCGGTATCAGTGGGAGGAATAGTGCCCCATCATCGGTGTCAGTGGGAGGAATAGTGCCCCATCATCGGTGTCAGTGGGAGGAATAGTGCCCCATCATCGGTATCAGTGGGAGGAATAGTGCCCCATCATCGGTGTCAGTGGGAGGAATAGTGCCCCATCATCGGTGTCAGTGGGAGGAATAGTGCCCCATCATTGGTATCAGTGGGAGGAATAGTGCCCCATCATTGCTGTCAGTGGGAGGAATAGTGCCCCATCATTGGTGTCAGTGGGAGGAGGAATAGTGCTCCATCATTGGTGTCAGTGGGGGGAGGAATAGTGCCCCATCATAGGTGTCAGTGGGGGAATAGTGCCCCATCATTGGTGTCAGTGGGGGGAATAGTGCCCCATCATAGGTGTCAGTGGGGGGAATAGTGCCCCATCATAGGTGTCAGTGGGGGAGGAATAGTGCCCCATCCTTGGTGTCAGTGGGGGGAGGAATAGTGCCCCATCCTTGGTGTCAGTGGGGGGAGGAATAGTGCCCCATCCTTGGTGTCAGAGTGGGGGGAGGAATAGTGCCCCATCCTTGGTGTCAGTGGGGGGAGGAATAGTGCCCCATCCTTGGTGTCAGTGGGGGGAGGAATTGTGCCCCATCGTTGGTGTCAGTGGGGGGAGGAATCGTGCCCCATCCTTGGTGTCAGTGGGGGAGGAATATTGCCCCATCGTTGGTGTCATTTGGGGGAGGAATAGTGCCCCATCGTTGGTGTCAGTGGGAGGAATAGTGCCCCATCATTGGTGTCAGTGGGAGGAATAGTGCCCCATCATAGGTGTCAGTGGGGGAATAGTGCCCCATCATAGGTGTCAGTGGGGGGAGGAATAGTGCCCCATCCTTGGTGTCAGTGGGGGAGGAATAGTGCCCCATCCTTGGTGTCAGTGGGGGGAGGAATAGTGCCCCATCCTTGGTGTCAGTGGGGGGAGGAATAGTGCCCCATCCTTGGTGTCAGTGGGGGGAGGAATAGTGCCCCATCGTTGGTGTCAGTGGGGGGAGGAATAGTGCCCCATCGTTGGTGTCAGTGGGAGGAGGATATCGTGCCCCATCCTTGGTGTCATTGGAGGAATTAGTGACACCCATGATGGGCACATTCCCACTGAACCAATGATACTTACCTTCAGACCCCTGCTCAGTGCCTGGGAATAGTGCCCCATCATTGGTGTCAGCTCCCATCGTTGGTGTCCCAGTGGTACCGAGGAACTTACCTGTCAGACACCAATGGTGGGGGCACTATTCCCACTGACACCAATGATACTTACCTTGCAGACCCCTGCTCCAGCCTGGGCCGCTCGCTCCCTCCCTCTCCCATGGTACCGACACTTACCTGTCACTCCTTCTCCGGCCGCTCTCCTCCTCTTCACTCGCTCGATCTTCGCGGTGCCACTCGGCTCCTCCTCTCCAAGCTCCACCTCCTTGCCGGTGATTGGCCGCCTGTGTGCCTCTCCTGAGCTACAGTGCCGGCGGCCAATCACAGGCGAGGATTGATCTCGAGGTGTGTCCAGATGACAGGGGCAGCATGTCATCCCGCCCACACCTGGAGACGGCGGTGGCGGCGGCGAGGAGCGGTGTCTCGGTTCCTAAGACCATCGGAAATATGTGTTTTCCGATGGTCTTAGGCGACCCCTGTGGAAGCGTCGTTCGACCCCCAAAGAGGTCGTTCGACCCCCCAGGTTGAGAACCGCTGGTCTAGCAGGTACAAGAATTGTACTTACCCTAGTCTGTGCTCCAGCCAGCTCAGGTACTGCCCTCTTCTCCATGAAGCTCGGGTCTGTGTGCAGTCCCCCTGCACCATCATATACAATGCGGAGTTATTGCGTGTCTTAGGCTGGGTTCACACTATTGCAGGTGCGGGTGCATGTATAAATCTCATGTGGTCCCTCACATGCAGGCATCCAAAGCCAAAATGCACTGCTATTGCACTGGGCTTTTTTTTTGCTCATAGAATAGGCACAGAAACTTTTCCTTCTGAGTCCCTTCTTGTTTTGGCCCCATACCCTCCTTTGAGCACCATTCTTCATCCACCCCCCTACCCACCTCCCAGTACAGCCCCTTCCAATACAGAACCAAGTATTTTGTGGTGCTAAATAATTTGTACGGAATGTGTTAATTAGAACAAGAAAACCAGTACAATAAATTCTCTGTAGCCAGTAACAATAGATCCCATCTCAGCAACAATAGATCCTCCACACATCAATAGACTCTCCAGCAACAATGGACTCCACCACAGCAACAATAAGTATCCTAAGCAACAATAGAGCCCATTTCAGCAAAAATATATTCCCCTGCAGCAAAAAATAGAAACCCCACACAGAAACAATGGACCGCCAACAACAAAATACCAGTCCCAGCAACATTGAACCTCAGCAGCAACAACAGATATCCCAGCAGCCAGCATAAATAGACCCTCCAGCAGCCAGCAACCTGTCCCTCAACAGTAGATTTCTACTAGCAACATAAGACCCTCCTCCAGCAACAATAGATCCCCCACCAGCAACAATAGACCCTCACACAAAAACAGATCCCCACTATTGACAATAGATCCCCCAGCAGCCACCATCAATAGACCCCCCAGTACACCCAACACCCCTTGCTATCACATACATTTAGTGCTGGAGGTGCCTGAACTGCTTTCCCCCACGTTCCCCACTGGAAAAAAAGCCCTGCTATTGCATCTATGGGCCAACCAGGGGGAAATTTCATTGCAAAGTGAACAACCTATTTGCCTTTAGTAAATCAAACCCAAAGTGCTTTAGTGAAAGCCTTAATCTGCTTAATGAACACTTCCATAAATACAAACAGAATGAAGGCCTATCTAATCAGCTTCTCTGTCCTCTGGACTGCCAATAAACTGGCCAAAGACAGCTGTAGAGTCTCTTCAATGCTGCTCTCTATCCATCAAACAAATAGGAGAAAATCAATGGCGTTTTGTGGATTCCAGACATTCAAAGAGATTCTGAGATAAAAGGAAAAGGGGATTTCAGAGGGAAGAATTAAAGTTAAACACAGAATTCCCTGGTTTCTGTGGAAGTTCTATTCATTGTCTAATCTTAATGAGTAAATAGAAAATGATTTGCAATAGTTTGTGATACAGGGGATAGTATTTGTGGCCTCTTATTCCATCTATTAGTCAAAGTCTTGCATATTTATCAGATGGTAACACTCATAGACGTGGCTGATAAAATCATACATTTTGACTATTACTGACGATTTTTTTGAACTGTCTGTGATTCTTATTTATTTGCACTAATGCCTGCGTCTAAACCTCCACTCCTCTGAAAACCAATCAGCGCTTAGATCCTTTTTCAGAGCGTTTGACAGGCAATGAGGACCCCATAATTTCAGCACAATGCTTCCCGAATCACTTGAATGGGTCGCATTCAGTGGGTTTGTGCCCTGCTGAGCACAACATGGATAATCTTTACAGAAGGTGTGATGTGAAGGATTGTGACCATGACATATGAACACCTTCATCCGATGCCAATACAGTTTAAGTGGGCAGGGCCATGGATAAGAGGGTACCACTGGTCCTCCTGTACAGGGCCCAGGCCAACAGGGGGCCCAGGCTGCATGATGAATCATATTTGGACAGGGAAGGTGATCGGCAGCTAATTGCTGGCTTCTTCTCCTCTCCCTCCTGCCAGCTTTCAGCTGCTACAGAGCCATACAGGGGATCAGTTCTAGTAATTGCCCCCCCCCCCCCCTGCCTCACCAATCACTGTATTTTCATTCTGCACCATAAATTTCCCCGTGTGCCCCACCCCTGCAGTGCTGCTGGATTCCCTCCTCTGCTTCCTGCTGGCAGATGCAAGCACACAATAGGATCCTTCAGAATGGACAGTGAGGGAAGAGTCCAGTAAATATGTAATTTATGCCAGCCCTCCCTTTCCTGAATGAACACAGTGGGTGATCAGCAGCAATCACTTTCTGTGTTCATTCATAACTGAAGCCTAGTAAACTGTTTATTTGGGGGTTGGCCCTGTCAGGTTGGCTTTATAGGGCCAACCTGATTCCAGTAAATATGTAATTTATGCCAGCCCCTCCCTTTCCAGAATGAACACAGTGGCTGATCAGCAGCAATCACTTTTTGTGTTTATTCATAACTGAAACATAGTAAACTTTGTTTATTTGGGGGTTGGCCCTGTCAGGTTGGCTATACAGGGCCCTGTGGTTTCTAACAGCAGCCCTGTAAGTGGGGAATGGTTGGTGATAACAAAAACATGGCTCAGTCGTGTGGTTTAAATGCCCCCCAACTGTAAGCTAAATGACTTCTAACAGGTATATTTTCAGGAGAAGCTTTTGGGGTGTACTGATGTGTTAGCACAGAAAAAAAAGTAAAACAGAATAAATTAAAAATTGTAATGTTAAAGTGACTCGGCTGCTTTAGGGTTTATGTAAACTGCACATTTTTAAAGCTGAACTCCAGACCTATATAAAAGGCACAAATCGCTGCAGTTTTGTATTCATTAACGCGGTATTCACTGTATTTTCTTTTCCAAGCAGGGCAAGTACCTGAATTTTACCTGGTATAAACCTCTTACTATTCCCTGAACATCAGAGCTCAGACTGGGATAGGGGGAAGTAGCATGCAGAGCCAGTCAGTTGTGTTGCAGCATCACATGCTAACAAGAAGTATTCTGATAGGAGAAGAGAGCAGAGTGACAGAGACATGAGCTCATTACTGTGCTCCATCTCTTTTCAGTGTTCTATCACAGGCATGGAAATTCCAGTAGATCAACAGTTTTTTAAATACTCAGACCAGCCCATCTGGCACCGACAACCATGTCACGTTCAAAATAGCTTAAATCCAATTTCTTCCCCATTCTGACGCTCGGTTAGAACTTCAGCAAGTTGCCTTCACCACGTCTAGATGCCTAAATGCATTGAGTTGCTGCCATGTGATTGGCTGATTAGCAATTTTTGTTACCAAGCAATGAACAGGTGTACCTAATAAAGAGGCCGGTGATGGTATATTTAATTTATACATTAATCTGATTGCCTGGAATTTGACTTTTAAGTGCAATTTCTGTATTTTTATCAGAAGAGAAATGTTTTCCTTTCAGTCAATAATTGAATATTTCCCTGATTATTGCTCTAATGGAGTAATCAAGACAAATAGACTGCAAGACCGCCTCAACCCATGGTTCCATATCTAAAATTTTTTTTTTGGAGTGGACTGAACTGTCATGATTTCATATTTCTGTTTTTTTAATTAAAAATTATTTTCCTCCAAAACAAAACTGTTACGGGGTCCTGTTAGAAGAGCCAGACTTCCTCAACCTGCCTGTTCTGCCATAGCCGCTGCTTTGCTCCCCCAGCCTGACACCCCCCACTTTTACTGGCCAGCTATAGCGTACCTCCATGGTGGCATCCTGGTTGATAGGCAGCGGTTACCCTGCCTCCTCGCACCTAAATAGCAGCAGGGCTATGGTGCTCTATTTAAGCATCACAAATCCAGGGATCTGAGCTAGCGATAGCGTTTTGGTGTCTCGCCCCATGACTCATGACGTGTTGCCTTGCCTGTTTCTTCTGTTACTGACCCCTGATTTTTGAAAGCTTTCA